CGTAAGTTGAAATCCAGTCAGTATTCGATAAGTAATTATTGAGTCCATTATAATCAAAATTCGGAAAATCAGGGATAGGGTAGGAGGGATCTGACAAAGCTTCATGATTGTAAGTAAATGCGATGATATTATGGTCAGAGGATGCAAAGGGTGGATGAATCTCGATATTACTGATATCATCAGATGGTGACAGAATCAGGTCAAGAATATTATTTGCATGAGTTGCTTGTTGAACTCTTTGTTTAAGTCCTACGTTACGAAAAAGGTCAAGAAATGGTTTGGATTCAGGCTTGAGAGCACTTTGGGTAATCCAATCAATGTGCAGATTAAAATCGCCAACTACAACTGTGTTTTTTGCAGCAGATAACAAGCCAGTCAAAACATCTATTACTTGTCCATTATCATCTCGAGTAGATTTTGGTGGACGGTAGACAACAATGAACCTGACAGGATTTGATCTTGATCTTGATAAAATAAGCAATTCGAGCGAAAGTAAGTCGCATTTTGCTGTTGAGAGTCTGTCTACGTGTTTTACAAAAATGTTATCTTTAACAAGACAGCAGACACCACCCCCCTTTTGGGTTTGCCTGTCATTGCGGTATATAGAGTATGGCAAGTTTCCAATCAATTCGGAATCAACTATTTTCGATTTTAACCAAGTTTCAGTCAAAAAGACAAGATCAGGTTTATCATGGGTCAAAAGAAATTGTAGGTGGTGTATTTTATTAGTTATACTTCGAGCATTGAACAGGAAACATTTGAGCGAGGATGGACAACCGTGCATGTTCAGTGGTTTCCCGAACGTCTGTTGGGAAGCTTCGAGATATGCTTGAGTTGGCCGCGATATACGACCCACTCTCTTTCAGATTTCCCAGCATTACGTTCTCTCGCTTGTTGCCTAAGTTCGTATTCGGCCCTTCTTTCCTCACTGGTCATGCTTCTGCGAATAAATACTTGCGAGAAGTTGGACGAGCGAAGGAAACGTGCATTGGCTAAGGCCCTTTGCCAGTAAAAAGTTGACGGTAGGGTAACCTTAACCAATCTAGGCCGTTCGGCATTTAGTTTGCCGATGCGATATACGTCACTTGGGCAACATTCTACGTCAACAATGTCCAAAATCTTCTCCACTTTGTCCTTGAGGTCTCTTGCTTTTTCGGATGCACAGCATTCTTTAGGTGACTCCGGAATACCGCTAAGAACTAGGGTCCGCGACCGTTTCTCAGCCTCCACGTGCTCAGCGACTTCAATATGAAGCCTCTGAGAAAGGAGGCCGAGAAGACGATCTATAGCAGGATCCCTGTTCTTTTCTTTAATGCATAGAATGAGTTCGGCTGCCGACAGACTAGTGTAGTCGACGTCATTCTCATTCTGCGCATTGTCATCTGATGAGCAGATGATAGTAGATTGTTTGGATTGCGATTTTTTGTTTGAACGCGGAGCCATAATGCCTTCACAACAAAGTCAAGTTAAGAATGGTAATGAGTGTATTCTGAGATTACCGTCTTGTGGTTAAGGCCAAAGATACTGAACACTAGCCGAATCCAGTGATCAGTATGCACAGGGAGCAAAAATGCAGTAGTATAATATGATCGAGAACTTATCCGATAGCGATAAGATAGAGTGATGAGATATGCCGACCACACTATGGGGTTACAGGCAAGAGAATGATTGAGGATTGAAAAATGTGTGAATTATTGGGGTTGAAAACGAAAACGGACATTGATTTCCGGACAACCTAATAGAAGTACTGGATAACGTTTACGTAAGCAAGTTAGAATTTTTGTAGGATTCTTGTGAACTAAGTTGCGATTTTTCTCGATTTTTCGGGCAGTTGAATCTTTTTAGTTTTTCGCTTAAAACTTGAGGTCGATCAGAGCTTTTACTAAAGTAAGATTGCCATATTGTAGAGTAAGCTCTATCGAATGTTACTTTACAATCAATTCAGGATGAGAAGTGTATGTCTTATTGCGGTTGAAAGTGAAAACGGACATTAATTTCCGGACAAATTAATAACAAGTGAAATTTACGATTATGCCCGATACAAAAGTTACAGTAACTGTACCGTAATAGGCATAATCGATATTCTTTAAGTACTTAATTGAAGCCCTCAAAAAGCACTCAGCAATACAGAAATCAAATTTGAAAATTGGCGTGCTCGTAAATCTTATCACGAAAGTTCTTAATCAAGAAATTTGTAGAATGGCGATTTACCATACCATTATGTGTAGGAATTGCTACCGTAATCCTACAGTACATAAAAAGTTGCTGATTCATTCATACTATCTATCTAGCTCTACAGAATGGTAGGAAAGGGTCAAAAATGAGAGGGATACAAACTATCAAAAGGGATATTTTATTTTATTAACAATAAAACGGTTTTAGTTTATCAATTTTTATTTATTTAATTACTTTGTCTATTTATTGACAGGGTTCAAGGTTCGAGCAAAAGGTAGTATTGAATAAACATGTATACATATGTTGATACCAGTGGTCAGAAAATTCCAGAAGTGACAAATTTACAAACTTTTGGGACGATCATGTACATATATGGTGGAGAAATCCGAGCGAAAATTTGCAAAACAAGGAAGAAAAACCATGGATATTCTCAGAAATTCCTAAGCACAGCGCTGATAGCTATAGAAGGAGGCAAACTGATGGAGAAGCGAGCTCTTTTCTCGACAGCACGACTCGAAATCGAAGTTTTCGTTATTTTCACGATGAGAACAGAGCGGGAAGATGAATGGCGCGATATGGAGCTCGTTAGTAGCTCCATGCAAGACAGAGTCACATACAAATCGCTCTGCACTACTATAGGGCAAACCCGGCAGAAGTGGCTTGTCTTGGCAAAAATTCAAAAAAAATGATCTAGCAGATAAAGGTTTCCTACTGTTGAAATTAGTAAGAAACGGGTTTTGTCGCAATATATTTATTCTGGCAAAATCGAACAAAAAAAATTTTTTCGCGGTAGTTAGCTGCCACAGAGTAAATAGCATACTTTCAGAATTCTGGGAAATATTCTGAATTACTAGATTTCCAAAAGTTCATGATGTGTTTGCTCTCTTTTTAAAATAATTCTAATATTTAATCTTCGGAGGTTCATGTTACGTCGCGGCAAAAAAAATCCGTCACCACCCGTTTTATTTCATAAGACTGGAAGTTAGAATTACACATACAAGAAAGTTTTATCTCATTTAATTCCTCATAAAAGAACTTTGCTAGAAAAATGTAAGCGATGCAAAAAAAGAAAAAACTCTCAAAAAATTGTTTTTTCCAAGAAAACTACAAATACTTCTCGGTTTCCTATCTCAAGCTTTCATAACTAATCCATGTCATATTTTTCGTCCCCGGACAATCTTGTCAAGTAGATTGCTTTCTTAGAAATGCATATATCAGTAAAAAGTGAAAGAAAAACTACCGCAGCATTTTAATTTGATTTCCGAAGGGATTCTTGAAGAAATGACTTTGTAATCGATTTCAAACTAATGCAAAGGAATAAGAAACACGAAGCATGACAGAATAGAGGGTTTTTCAATCTGTATTTGAGTGATGTGCTGTCTTGTAGTTCTATAATTTGCTGGAGTTCCTTGCAAAAAGACCTTGGAAACGTTAGCTTCTGAGAATGCTCAACTTTTACAAAAAACATCTTGAAATCTAACATATCTGAAAGACATGAAGCATAGATTTTTTCTTCAAAATCTTCATTTCCTTCTTTTATTCGCAGAGAATGAAAGATTCCTCATACATATGACGGCTTTGAAGTCTTTTTTTGCAAAAGATAAATTCATTTGTCATTTTTCAATCTAATCGATACAATCACTAATCTACAATCAGATAATGGATTTTCCCAACTTGATTTGTGTTCTACTTTCTTTTTCAAATACATTTCAGCTCTTTACCGATACTGAAGATTCTGAGAGCGGTTGCAAAAAGAGATTATTTATGGCGTAGACCTATAGAATTGACCACGTGAGGTTCATTTTGAGAAAAAAGCAAATAGTATGTAAATACGCCATATTGGTTTGAAACTCTCTTACAATTTATCATCAAATTCGCTGCCCTCATCTTATTTCTGACTAATATAATAGACAGGTCTCCCTTGCATTGAATTGGTGAAGAAAGTCCGTTTTGAAAATGCTTAAAGAACGTTTACTCAAAAATATTCGAAAAACGTTTGCAGTACATATTTCATATCCTTTTATTTGCGATAAAATGTTCTATTTTGTTACTAGTAGAGATTCTTACAAAGCAAAAGCAATATCGAATAAAAACGCAAGAAGCACAAGTATTTGTTGAGATAATTATTTTTACATTCAAACAATAACTATATAAACTACGTGCTCACATTTGAAAGTAGTAGATTGTAAAAATGTAACAAAACTAGATTCAAATCTTATCCGATAGTGGCGTTATGAGAAAAATGGGGATAGGTGTTTATTTCTTCACGCACTCTAAGAATGCTGAATTTTTCCCCAAGGTGATTCTGGATTCAGCGAAAAATTTAGCAAATTGATTTGATAATGTCATTTGAATCAAAAGTAGGCTACAAATAGCCTCGCCGGGCACAGGTTCAAAGAGGGCAGTGAAGCAGATGTGAGGAAGATGGGTAACTTTTCTGGTAGATAAAATTGAACATTCACTCCCACGTTTCTTACCAATTAATCGGGCACTTAAGCAATAACAAGCAATGAACTCACCATGTGTTCGTTCCTATTGGCACCACCTAATGGACACCGTCTCGCAAACACAATAGCGAACACCGACCGCAAAGGTGAATTTGAAGCCAGCAATTATCAGGCCAGTCGACCCTCTAATACGGCACCAGCATTGATTCGACACACAACTCCCGCCACCACCGCCCACAATTCTATTTCTTTCTTGAAATTTGGTAGACAAACACAGGACTAACCGAATCTAATCCCTTCTATTCGTCGGAAGCAGCCGGCGACGTTAGAAAAAATGATCCTTAGCTGACGAGGAACTCGTGTGATGTGAAAAACTTTATCCAGAGAAATGAAAAACGAAAGGATTTTCGTGAATTTATGGGCATGTTAATAGAGCTGAGAAGAAGAATCGCTTGCACTCGTGGAGGATTTCCCCAAGCTAGTGCATACGGAATGCTTCATCAAACTTGTACAACTCAATGAATGGCTTAGTGAGAAAAACATTTATGAGCGAAAAAAAAATTCGGGATAAGTAGTGCAGAATATACGCTGCACTCAAGGCACAGTAAAATCTCTCTTTCAATGATAAATAACATTAAAACCGTCATATATTACACATGCAAGTAGAAATCAAACTCAAAAAATACACGAATAGCGTGCATGCGGTAGTTACATCAAATAATCAACGAAGTATAGCATATTTAGAAACAAATCCTGCAAAAAGTCAAGCCTGCAAAGGTGACGAGGTAGGAGAAAGACAAATGCATGCCTATTTGCTATAGTACTGATCAAGCTGATCCATAAACCAAGGCCGATTCCCTTCGCGAGCTGTCAACACATCGCATCCGTGTTCTGTCACAAGAAGAGTTTGTTCAAATTGAGCCGAACGTTTTCCGTCAGTCTGAAAAAAAAAACAAATGAAACGTATCAGATAAATTTTTAAATAAGATTATTGAAAATTATGGGAAATCTGCTAAAATCTGCAGCGTGATGAATTTTCGTGGATCGAGTCACATTTACCATGAGGATCATAAAAAACTCATCGCTAAATAATTCTGAAAAATACCCATTCCTCTGAAAGAGTGTCCATTGTTAAAAGTAAGAAGTGACGAAAGCCAATTTTTTTTATGTTTGTTTTCACTGCAAAATCTCCTGGAAAAAGAAAATGTGTGCACCAAGAGCAAGTTCTACCTCAAATCCTGGGTAATTTTTATTTTAAGCAAATAAATCGGCGAAAAAACTGGAACAAAACAACCGGTACGGCCTTCTGCGCCCATTTCAGCATTGTTTGTCGCTCGGCAAAACATCTGATCTCGGGCGGGCTCGAACCGCCGGCCTTCTGTGTGTTAGACAGATGTGATAACCACTACACCACGAGATCGCCATGCCAAGTACTTTCGCACGGCTCCATGGAGAAGGAACCCGTAAAGGTAAGTGCACCACGCACTTACAACAAACTACTCGTTTATTTACAAAACCTAATTTCTGGTAGATACGGTGTAGCAACGTCATTAGACTCACCGTGACAGCTGTCCAGTCATCCGGCCAGCGGTCATCATGATAGCTGCCAGCGTTGATCATAGGCTCGATTGTGAACGAATTACCCGCCTTCATGACACCCGTAGCAGAATTCTCTGAAATGCAAAAAGTGTCATGATATTTGATCGAACGTTCACTAAAATCAAGAAATAACACTAGTTGAGAGAACAGCTACATAACTAATGTAACAAAGAATAGTATGACGTGACTACCACCACAAGCATCTAAAGGATATAAGTATATTTTCGACAGCTAAATTGTCACAAGAAAATTGCTCCCCTATTAGAAAATATAGATGTCAGGGAATCAGGAGGGAGATAACGCTGTACCATAGGGTGAAGTGCCTGCATGAATGTGTTGGAGTAAAAATGTGACATCTTAATCGAAAAATATAAAACCGCAGTCTTATGGATAATCGCGACCCGGACGCAAAAAGATGAAGAATTGAAAGGGGAGCTATAGAGAGAGGGCCCCCTTTCCCTATCCTCCAGATTCAGCCTTCTCAACGATGATCTCTTCGTAACCCAAACATTTCCGGTGAACTAGTAGAGACTTTTAGTTTTAGCGCGACTAGACCATCATTAGCCAATTTGAATCCAAAAAAAGGAGTTCAAGATTCAAATTAAAGTTTATGGCTCTCCATCTGAGGTCAGTAGAACTGTAGTTGATCAATAAATTGAAGACGAGCCTTTATTTAGCTTAACGATACGATCACATCCGGCTAGGGACTCAAGCACGAGAATAATTTGCATATGTTTTTTTCTAATTTCCTATACGATACATGCAAAGATTAGAAAAGCTGCAAGCTGGATTGATCGTACGCGAAAGCCGGAGAAGCATCATGCTATGCCTAAAGCAAAGGATAAAATTACGAGCATACCCATGAGTCCCAGCCAAGATAGAGAGTTCCACGCAAATATTTCGGCATACGACACTAGATAAGACAAACTGACAGATGAAGAAAAACTTAAAAAATTGAACTAGAGAAATAAGGAGCAAGAGAACTAACAGCATCGGTAGTCAAACTGAAAAAGACTCACTTGCATAATGTGGGACATTCGGAGCAGTGTGGAAGAGCCTGAAGAGATAAAGTTGGTCATGCCCGCAAATTACATTTTCACTATAACCGACCAAACCTGTGAATTCCATGCCCGCAGTAAGCTTTCACCACAGAAAACCCATTAGCACTGGCATGCTTTTGAATAACATTTCCGATTTCACGGAATTTAACGCCAGGTTTCACTAAAAGTAAATTTGCAGGTCAATGAATCAAAATGTTTGATAGAAATCACCTATAGCAATGGCTTGTTGTAAGCATTCGTAAGTTACACGAACAAGTTTGCGCGAATCTTCGTCTACTTTGTCACCAACAAGAAATGTTTCATTCAAGTCTCCATGGAAACCGCGATGATAGACAGTTACATCAACTAAACAAGAAAATAACAGAAATAAAAAAAATCGTATATTTCGCGCCTACCATTACACAAATCCCCGTTTTCCAATGGACGCAAGTCGGGTATACCATGACAAATAACTTCGTTAACAGAAGTGCAGCAACTTTTCGGGAAGTTATGATACCTTAGCAAGCAAGGTTTTTGTTATGGGATATTATAGCGGAACGATTACGCTTACCCCAGCGGACTAGGGTAGCATTCTCTTTCTATGCAGGCTTCATGTACAACGCGGTCAATCTCCTCTGTAGTTACGCCAGGACCACAAGCTTTAGCAGCTTCATCCAGAACTTCTCTACCTAGTCGGCAAGCCACACGTAGTCCCTCTTTTTCTTCGTCATCAAGGACCTACAACGTAATGGTCTAGCAGAAAAAAAAATGAGCAGAATACAAGAAATAACATGGATAAAGGAAAAACTACAAGCGTAGTTGATCATAAGAGCTATATTCAACAAAGAGAAAGGCAAAATAACTTGTCGGTAGTTTAGAAGGAGCCACACCCACCTTTACATCTCGATTTGACTTTGCTTGTCGTTCCTCAAACGAAACGCCTTCAGGATGGAAAGCGTAATCCGGACGTGCAATCGACTGCGGTACTGTTCTCTTTGGTGTAAGTTTTGCTGGACGAAGCGGACCAGTGAACTGAAACATCGAAAAGTTTCGAATGATTGCTTTGCACTGATGACCTAGGATTTCATATAAGGTCAATATGTATCCAATTTTTACTGATGGATTAAACACGGCAAAAATACAATGGTTCTTCAAAAGGTAGGCAAAACAGCGTAACCTTTCCGAGTCATTGTGGTGCACTAGCGAGGTAAAGTTTTTCTGTGCAAACAGCTCGGAAGTTCCTAAGTTCTTCGTAATTCCCACGGATTCTGTTCCATTTGACACCATGGTAACCATAGTAGTAATGCTGATGCCTATAGATCAGCGAAGAAAAACTTACATGATAGTTTGGCCATGGGTTATACGGAGCATTGGGATCGGTATGCTGGTTCTTATGCACAGCCCAGTTTGCTTTGAAGCATGTCTGAATGTATTTGTAAGTCGATGTACAGAAATTGTCAAAGGTACTGCGGTTGTCAAAACCTTGCCTGATCACAGAAATATGAGTCTTTCAAGCCTAGTTTGATGCAAGTCGGACAGCGAAGTTTTGCCGGTTTGTCGCACTGGAATCCTTCACACCTGTGTTCTTCAACTTCCGTCATAGCTGAAAAAAATCACTTCCCATGAAACCTACGAGAATACTACGTTACGGCGGATTGACTTCGAAAAGAAATTTGATGGTAAGACCAATACTTAGAGGTGAAGTCAGCGAAGGACTATCGAAAAAGTTTTTCTTACCTCCGAAAAGAAATTTTTGACTTCGAAAAGAAATTTGATGGTAAGACCAATACCTAGAGGTGAAGTCAGCGAAGGACTATCGACAAAGTTTTTTTAGCAAAGATATTTGAAATGCATAAGCACGAGACATGAGAACGACTAAGAATATGATAAGAAGGACTTTTTTTAAACCTTTGTTTTAATAGTTCTGCAATCGCACAAATCAGATTCTACCGTAGGAGAAAACCTTTGATGAGGAGGGCGTCAACAAATTTCCAAAGTTGATTATGCCAGCTATCTTCTTTGCATATAAATTTCGTTCGATTCAATAGCGTATGTACGACTGACCTCAAACATCAAATTTCAACCGCCTAGTAGCAGACCTGATAAACTTGGCGTTCCCGCGTCGCTTGCAACATTTTCGCGTAAACTGACAATCTTCGCTTTGTACTATGTTCACAATTTTTTATGCCACGCGCAAATCGCTAACAAGTTGTTGACATGACGGCTTATGGTATTTAATTCGCGCAAATGTTGTTTGCACCGCAAGGGCACTACTATTTTATCTATGAAATTGCAGGCTCTACAGATGAGCCAACAGCCGTCGACGTCTCAAGGACATCAGTGCCCAACCTGTGGACGGATTTTCCAGCTTGAAGGCAATCTAGTCCTCCATGTAGATCGAATGCACAGTGGTGCTAAAGCATATATTTGCACCTGGCCAGATTGTGAAAAACGATTTTCTTCCGCGGAGCTTCTTCGAAAGCATCTACGCAACACGCACCAGCCCTCAAAGTTAGCGAAAGGTCTTTTTGGAGGAAAGAATGTCAATCGGGAATATTTTCAGGATAAAATGCTCTAAATGTGAGTCTACATACTCCACCAACTCAGCTCTGCGCCGTCATGAACGGATACATTCGAGTACTAGAAGGTTGGTCAAATCTGAATGTATATTAGATGGTCAGTCAATCTGAACTGTGCCATCGACGCAGACAATGTATTTGGCGTCACCGTTGTAACTGCGCGGTCGAAGCCTGCCTTTCGAGCGAGAAATTACTTTTTTCCTCTTGTTTTTATTTTTGGATCAACACTCAAAAAATGTTTTCTCAACATAAAAATAACTAAACGCATGACCTTAACTTATTCATTGGTGCATTCGTTTTTAGGTATATCTGCTCCCGATGCAGTGCTGGCTTCGATTTATCCGAGCCCTATAAAATTCATCTCCGGCAACATGATCACATACAGCCGTATGCCTGCTCTGTATGCTCGAAAACATTTACGTCAAGGGCGGTTTGTCGAAGGCATCGCGCTGGTCACGAAAAGCATTCAGAAAGCTGACATGAAAAAGAGAAAAAAGTAATTTATTGAAAAATAAATAATTACATTCCATGAGAACAGTACAATTCACTTGCGAGGAATCGGAAGCAAAGTTTCGAACATCTCCACAAGCCGCCTCGTTTCTTTGCTGGAAAGAGGTCTTGAGAAACTTTTTAAAATATAATTTGTTTTATCACGAACGGTAGTCTTACATTTGTTTGGCTAAAGTTGACAGTTTTTGCATCGCATGATTCACTTCTTCTGCTTTAGCGAGCATCTGAATGTTGAGAATAAACATTGCATCTCAATAATAGATAAAAACAGCTGTAACAGAAACTCACGGAATAAGTTGATTTTATATTAACATCTGCAACATCACAAGCATTTGCTATGGCTGTATTATAGCACTGAATTGACTCCAGAGTAACATCACCCATACCATGGAGAGACCCTCTGCAAAACAGATAAGTTGGGTGCCATCTTCATAAACCAAATGGTAGAAGTGCAATATATCATAGGGTGAACCTCGTTATGTGTCTAAAGAACTCACCTCAGATCTCGTAAAACTGTATCTAGATTCGCTGCTACATCTTTAGCATAGACTTCCAGGTCATCAAGAATCTACAAAAACAATACTTAAAAAAAGCAAGGGAAAAACTACGCAGAGCTTACCCTAGGATCTGGTACTAAAGGAGTTATATCATCGGGTGAGTCTCGTGGCCTACTCCCTGACACTCGACAACTTTCACGAATGCGCTCCTCTAGATCAGCTGCTACAAAGGTAGTCATTCCTTCGAGCTCAGTGCCACTGCCTGTGTCGTCTCCTCGGCTTGATGATGTGGATGGCTCGGTAGAGGACATTGCCTACCGTACCAGTATCGTCAAGATGCCCACTTTTTCTCACATAAAACGGAATACAAGGATATAACCAAAATTGTTCAAAAGTTGCTTTATACGATCTTTATCAGAATATTTACAATCAACAGTACCTCAACAGAAGGAAGAAGAATGCACACAACAATAAATTTACTAGAAAAAAACAACAACAAATTTGACAGAATGTCGAATAGAATCCGAAAAAAGAAGCTCACCGAGAAAAGAGATCATCCAAAAAACTAAACTATCAACAGCAACCGCAATCTCATTGCAGCATGTCAATATCCTCGCTGAAGGACCGTGATTCCGGCGAAGGCGGCTGGTCACCATCAAGAATCTCATTATGCCATCCTGACACATTCGATCTGTTGTCAGGTTGACGTCTTTTGGATCGCTGATGCCCAGATATCATTGCTGGTCCGCCTTTCACAAACGGTGTGGCCATTCCGTAGAGAGAGAAATACAGGTCCATCAAAAGCATGCGCACACGGGTTTCCTAAAATTTGCATGTTTTCGACGAGCAATAACCCAAAAAATGAGCTAGCAGTTTTCTTTCGATGATAATTAGATACAGTCGAAGCAGTCGAAAAAACAATGATATGGAGTACGAAAAGCGACTCTTACCAGCGAGGTCTTGCTCATAAGTGCCCATAGCTCATCAGCAATCTGCACAGTATTGCATGGATTTGTAGGACCAGTATCCGTACTTAAAAGGAGACTCAAAGGTTCCTGACATCAAACTATCAAATGAAGACACGAACCATTCATGAGCGCTGAACGGTGGCATTTGTGCCAACAAAGTTGCGATGTGCAGCCGGATCGCAGGATCCGAATCCTGAGCCAGCATGGATAGCAATCGCATCAAATCGTTGGTGGACTGCTTTTTTCGCGAGATAGAAAGCCTCTCGACGATGATGTGAAGCGCTGCTTTGCGCATCTATATCAGAAATTATAAAGGAACCGATATGATGTCATATTCTTAAGAAGTAGTAATTACTACTGCAGGCATTCTTACTAAAAGAAAAAAAAAGCTTACGTTCACGCATAGCTTCGGAGCTGCAAATACCCAGAAGATTTTTGAATCCGATGGGATGTGACCATTGCGTTGGAGCTACAAAAAACACTAATGCAGAAATTGCCACATCTAAGACTCGAAAAGAGACCGACATTATGAATCACAGAGAGTGCTGCAACGCCTACAACATGACGGAAAGTTGGTTTGATGGTATCCATGTTGAGAGCATGCGTTGTCTCCTAGAATTTGCCAATGGAAAGGAAAGAAAATCGGATGTGAAAAATCAAAAACAAGAGAACAGCAAAATACCTCAACTACTTCGCTCATTTCCCAGCTAAGAGCATCTGGTATGTAATTTCCTCCTCCCAGTGTGCTCACGGGTGCTACACAAGCTGCCAACGCATTCAACAAAGATGCTCGGTAATGATCGTCTGCATACCTAAAGCAGTATGGTACAAATATGACGAACTTTTGAAGAGAAAAACATCCTACCTATTCATCGAATTGTCATTGTAACGTATATAATCCACAATGAAGCACTGCACTTCCTGCAAAGCCATGCCATTCGTTCGCATTCTGGCCAATGCTTGAGGGAGAGCCTAGAACATTCATAACCTCAAGAGGTTTCGTACCATGTATATTACACTACCTGCTGCAGAAAATACTGCTGCAAATTCTGCGAGGTAACGACGAAATTGTTGGATCGCGGCAGCATGGGGCACGATTTTGCTCCATAAATCTTTCTGAACCATATGACCATAGATCTAGCACCGTTAAAGCAATTCCAAGTCTCAATTTTTGCTTACCTGTACAGACTCAAAAGCGCAGGAACACCAGACCAAGTTTCGGGCATCTTATTCAGAACTTCCGTTAGAGCATAGGCAGCATGAATTCGTACCCTTGACAAGTAGAAAGAGTGAAACAAAAAAAAACACATCCGAGAGTAATATATGGTTTTGACTTACTCACCTGTAGAAGAAATTGTCGTTGGTTATAGTTTCGAGCAGCACATCTCGGCTTTGTGGATTAGGACATAATTGTAGCCGATCCAAAGCCTGGAACAAAAGCGAATGACAAAAAGAATTAGCCATTTCGAAGCTAATAGGGAAATACTGTAGTAAGCAAATGTTTGCTTTACAAATTAGTTGTTTACCTGGAGTTGAGCCAGAACATCTCTTTCATAACGTAACATGTACTCCCATTGGTAATCCGGCTGATTGATCATCATGTTGCGTATCAGATGTAGTTCAGGGTCAAGCCTGAATGCTAACAAGATTAGAGCGTAGCAAAGAGCTCTGAGTCTACCTTATCCAGAGAACAGGTGAATCTGGGTCCATGTTGCTTAGATCAACCTCCACATCGTCTCCAGAGTATAGAGGAACTCGTTTCTAAACCAATCATACTTCGTGTGAAATGTCAAAGCTCTGCCTACCTTCTTTTGTCGTCGTCCTTTTGAATGGCATTGGAGGTCTGCCCTTGAGATATCGCCATCTATTTGCACTGTATGGGAAAAGGAACCATCGAGTTCTTGGACCAAGACCGTGAGCGGACCAACATATCTGATGAATTTGAAAAGTTATTGGAAAAGTATGGGTTATCAAGATAGCTTACCTCAATCGTCCATTTGCAGGCTCTACTTTCTGCCTGACCTCCAACTCTATCATATTACGCTTACGGTTGAAGACGTATTGTACCTAAAACCGTATGTGAAAGATTTGCCTAAAATCGCGGGCGTCCTGCTTACTCGGAAGGAGGCATGACCCCCATTATGAATCCACTGTTCCACAAATGTTGGAATCTCCTGCCCAGTCACATTTGTGACAGTCCGGAAAAACGTCTCAGTAGATACAACGAGATGCGTCCATGTAGCAGGTCGATCACGTCGCTCAGCCATTTGCTGGCCGACGGAGAGAATTTTGTGCAAAACCTGAGATCATTCCAGAGAGGACCATCACACAGAAGCAGCATATATACCTGGAAAAATGGTTCGTGTCCCAATCTTTTGCTAAGCATTCGCATTGCCAGATGTCCCTTCTTCGTCATAGTTTCAGCATAAAGCGGAGAGCATGTATGCTCACAGCGAGGTTCACAATGCAGGTTCAAACGAGGAGAAGCTTCTATAGATGGTCGCAAAATAACCTGGAAAATTGCATGGAAGAAAAACTTCAGTAAAATTTCGAAGAAGGAATGGAGCAAAATTCAAGATTTCATACCTTTCCCCATTGCGATTCATAATCACAAACAGCATTCAGCAGCTTTTTAATTTGGAATAGATACTCACTAGTACCAAACATCTTTTCGATATACAGAGATGTGATAAACCTAATTAGAGATCGAGAACCGCAATTTTTACGAAAGAAACCTTCTAATTTACCTTGACAAGGACTTCACAAGCCACCAGTCTAGGAAGTGCGCTGGCGATATAAAGCAACCAAAGAACTGCTGAGCAGCACCAAGAGCCAATGACTGCCTGCATTCCTGCAGAATTTACTTATTTCCATTCTGTCTAAGACGAAACAAGAGTCCATACCTGCACAGCATCAATAATCTTCTTGTGATGAAGTGTACTTATCGGAAACAAAGTTAGACTGCTATAACTGGTTACCTCATCAGGTATCTGAAGGATAGAAAAAACTTGTGCGGTCATAATCCATCAGGTAGTACCCACCATATCAACAAAAACTTGCTTGTACGTTGGATATGGAAACCGGCAAGATAAAAGCTCTTCAAAATACTCAAGTATTTTATCTAGTGGAGCTACAGTATGCTTCACCAACGATAGAAGCCCAATGGGCGCAAAGCTGGTAACCTACAAGAACATCTCGATAGCAAAATACGCAATAAGAGTGCTTCTTACCTCAGCCATATCCGGTAGCGCATATGTGGAGAACTGTCCGATGGCAAAACCGATGTTGCAAGCAGCAGTTGGTACCAGTTGTTGATAATTCCATATTCTCAAGCGCTTATCAGCATTGGTATCAAAACCCTTATGAAAGATATTTTAAAGACAAGTTAACACAGCGGGGAAAATTGCTTACCACTAGATCTCCACTTGCTACCGCAGTAAGCCAACTCTCACAGGTGATGTGAATGCGCCATAAGGCGAGCTGATCTGGAGCGTCCACACAAGGAAGCCATTCACGTGTGCCTGGTTTAGATTACCCGCGTTTCTCCACACCAACTGTGCGTATGACCCACTTGTTAGAAGAGAGCTTCTATATGTGAAGACATGCGGTCCTTTATCCACCGTTCCATCCGCCGCCAGGTTGTACACGAACTGGATACCCTGTAAGGGTAAAGTTTGAGTCTGATGAAGGATGCATAGGTTTTCTGTTGGAACAGTGATAGCCTCAGCACGGCAATGGAATTGAAGTATCGATGTAGAAAAGAAAGAGGAAGAGGGTGCAGAAACCGCACTCGAAAAGGATAAATTCAGATGACCACGAATATTAGATCTACAGAGAACCCTGTACTTCTGCGGAAGAAAACATACTAATGAAAGTTATTACTAGAAAATGATAAAAACAAACCTGCGTTGGCTTCCTCACAACAATGTCGACAGCGATCGTGATGCATTTCAGCAACTGAATGGTCAGTCTAAGTGGGTCAGGTATAGCAATTTCCAGGAACGCTAGAAAAATTGACATTTTTGCTTATCGCTCTCAAGTATATGCAACTTACCATCTTTCTCCTTGACTGACTCATGATAGCGCGATAGGGCTTCCATGATAGACGGATTGGCGGCATGTCCAGAAAGCTGGAAGTAATGAATTAATCATACCTTTTGTAGTACCAAGCTTACCGTAGGTTCAGGAAGTCTAGAGTATAAGCACTCAACGCCATTGATCGTTATCCTTCCGTTGTGGCCTGCCTCACTTGGGAGGTAAGCGCCTGAATGAAGGACGCGATAAGGAATAACTGCAGCAAACTATTCGAAAAGAATGTTATTGTCAAAACAATGAGTGGCTCACATGTTCCCAAATGCAAATGTATTGTCCTTAGGTCTGATGATAAAGGTAATGCTGTAATTTCTGTATGGACACTAAATGACTCTCCAGTGAATGATATATCGGAAATAACCACCTGAAAATAAGGATAAGATTGACTAAAAAGGCGGCATATACCCGCTATTGTATGACTTGACAACGAGATGGAGAGAACATTGGAGAGAACATGGTACACAGAGTAAAATGACAGGTAAAATTTGTGGAAGACTGACCGTCTGCGCCAAAACGCGAATTTCTCCTCGCACTTCAATACCGGGTGCTGCTTGTAGCTCATCATCGACTTCACCATTAGCTGCACCACCACCCTCTCCTTGTTGCCCTTGTTGATGTCGTTCTCCCTGCAGTTGGTCTAATTTAGGATAACCGATCGAGTATCTTATCTCTTACCACAGCATCATTCCCATTCACTTGCGCCTGTATAGTATAAGGCGCCACACGATCAAGGACGGGTGGTTTGGCGTCTGCGCCATTCATGGACGTCCAGTCCATGGCTGACGCCTCTCGCTTCATCAGTCCAACGCCTACAGCCGAAATCTAAGAGAAATTAGCAAAAAAGAACTGTAAAATTCAAATTTGAAGCAAGTATGCTAGGGTGAGTAAACAACTTCTCTTTGAGAACCATAGATTTTCCAACAGATTTTTATTTATATGCTGCGGAAACAACGATAGAATCAACAACGAGGAAAATCAACAACTTTTGAACGAGGAAGTTCAAAGATTTACAGATCTAGGGATAACAAAGGGAGCAAATAAGATCCAGAATGACTGTGTCACCTCATCACAATCCACAGAGTGCAAATAGGTTTTGATTATTCAGTGATAGAACTATACTGGAATCTAGCATGTGAAGTCAGAAGTACAGATAAAGGGGAGAGGTAAGAAAAGACTAGTAAGAACTGGCCTTGTGTTTCGGAATGAACGTAAAGCCTTCCGGAGTTGGTCCCAAAATCATACGACTAATTTCAATCCAGTCCGAAGCACGACCGCTACCCAGCAGAGTTTCTAATTCGCTACGCCCACGATATAGAGGAGGACGATCATTGATACGCTGTGGCAGTCGTTCAAGAAGTCCCACAGGAATATATCTAAATTCAAACAGCTGGTGAATCCATTGAAATCCTCTGTAAAAGCAATCCTGAAAAACGCTTTACTGACCTGCACTGAAATGAGAGCCACTCCAACAGGAAACGTCTCGTTCTCTCCACACCTGCATCATCACTACCCCAGTGATCGAGTCCATAATTGACAAACCTAAATTTCAACAAATTGGAAAGTGTGTAAAAATTACACTTTTTTTTATTTTTTACATTTTCGTCATTTTTACAGTTACATTTTCGCATTCATAGTCAGTTTGTTTTCAGTGCTACATTTAGTGTAGCACTGAAAACAAACTGACTATGAACGCGAAAATCTCAAAACTTACTTTTTTAGCAAATCCAGCCTCTCATTTGCAGATATATCCCATGTCCTACGTTCTTCAATTTCAGTGAATATCCATGGCTTGATAAGTGCCCCACGTGCAACCATAACACCACCTATAGGGTATTGTTCCAGACGCTAAAACGAATGCACATGTAAGAAAAATTAGGGGCAAGTGCCAATGCGTTTAGATATTTTCGAAGGTGAAAAAGTTGCTAGTAAGAAATAAGGCCTGAAAAAGTGCTGATGAATGCTTTAACACCTGGTAATAATCCTGCCAACTAAGTATATCGCCACACACCCACAAGGGTACGTCACCGCATGCTTTAAGACATGGAGCCACAAACTCCCAATTGGCTAATTTCGTATACCGCTGTTCTCTGGAACATACCACATTTCTCCAAATAAAACCACATGGGGAGTAAGCTCACTTGCTGCGCGGATGAAAAGAGATCAGATCTGGCTTTGCAGATGCAACCATTACTTTGATGGACTCGTCAGCCGTTAGTACGCCCTCTCTGAGTCCAGTACGGAGCTTCACGGTCAATGGGATATTGCGCATCACACCTCGCATCGCCGAGATTACTGTAACAGTCAAAAGAGTGCACAAACAAGTGCGAGATCAGAAGAGCAGGAACAGATTGAAACGAACCTTCTACCAACTTACTAGGCCTATTAGGCAGAGCGCATCCGCCACCTTTTTGATTTACAACGTCAATTGGACAACCCATGTTGATGTCTATAAAGTCGATCTGAAAGCGATAAAAACAAAAATAGAATCTGATGAAAAGCTGTTCATTCACCTCCATTTCATCAACCAAGATTTGAGCTGACTTTGCCATCGTATCAGGAAAACCTCCAGCCAACTGCACACCAAAGATCTTCTCGGATGGATGCCTTTTCACTAATGAGTACTCGGATGGTGTTCCTATAACCATAACTCTCCTGTTATAAAAGTAAAGAACCAAATGACTTCACGACCATACCTGACAGGAGACTGGTAGCCAAAGCCATTTCACCGCAGGTGACCTCTGCTCCAAGATCTACGCAAATTCGGCGAAACGGAAGGTTTCCCTGGAATCTAGTACCTTGCGGACTTTGAAGAAAAAGGTGATCATGTCGACTCGAAAAAAGTGGTGAGATCATAAGCAGTAACAAGAGAAAGAGTCGATACTCCAAAAGAGACAGAAAAAATGGACAGGTGAACATGGACAATAACTAACCACCGTGGTGAGAGGTGCCAAATACTTCTTCCCCTTCAAGCTTCTCATATCCAACTTTGGCTTCTCGCGTTCCATAGCTCCGATAGTGCCTTCTTTCAGCGCAGTAAGCACCTAGAACAATAGAAAATCATAGGAAAAAAGGTAGAAAAGAGATATAAGATTAACTACCTGTTCCGACCGACCAAAATCGTACGTTCTTTTCCTAAGTGCGATTTGTATTTGTATCGACGAGCTATTGATAGTTTCTTCATATGGTTTGTTTGGCTCCTATAGAATGAACTTCACACCAAAAAAGTGTGATTAAGCTAAATTTACCTTGGTGATCTGATTTCCTTCTGCATCAGTATGGGCGCCTCCAAATCTACATGCATAGCTGAAGGGGCAAGTTCCTCTGGCTTCAAACAAGGGACAAAAATCGCCAATGTCTGCCGGCTTCTTAGCCAGAAATGCGGTTATATCGTGTTCTAGTGTACACTTCTCTCCAAATCTAAAAGCAGTTATAATGGGAGAACATACAAGATACAAAGCAAATGTTCAACATACTTGCACTTCACCGGTTGGATAACGGAAGGACACAATCTGACACTAGAAGCTCGGATCAGAGTTTCTGCTTGTTTCATCTCTTTCCTAAAACGTGCCGAAACCTTATTCCCACCAACAGTCTACAATTAGTAGAAACCCTTTACCTGCCACTTACATTCTGTTCTTATTCATTCCTCTTCTATTCCTTTTGTCCTGTTTCTTCTTTTCTCTATTTATTAACTGTTCTTCCGCACTCAGCTCCACTCCATTCTCTGATATCGACTCGGATCGGTCACTTTTCTATATACGAACTTATGTAAAAGCATCATCACCTGCGGTGTATTCAACAACGAAGCCTTAGATAAAAATAACTTTGGGGCGCATACCCGTACCAGATAAAAATAACTTCGGGGCGCATGTACCCAATCAAATGCCATATCCGGGTATGTAGAACATACCTTGAGCCATCATTTGCACTCACGAACATACTTCAGGATAAAGTCCATCTTGCAGAAAGTGAATTTTACCATAGCATGGAGCAAGGTCGAATTCACTTTGTTTTATACCTTGGGCCAGTGTTCATGCATTACCTAAAGGTGAACTTCACCCTTAAGCATGTTTGTGAATATGAATACCGGTTATAGGCATCGTCCATCCAAACTAAGGAAAATGAGGTGATGATGCTTTATAATAGCGGGGCCCCTAAGGATAACCGCCCAAGTCCCGCTGTAAAAGAAGATTCCGAAGCAAAAAAGCAGCAACCTTAACTGCTTTACACAGTAAAAGCAGTTAAAGGCAGCGTACACCCAAAACAAATGCAACAGATGTTGCAACAGCAACTGCAACTGCAATTGCAGCTTACGCTGTTATGGATTCGTCCGGAGGAGGCGGAGCGAAAGAAAAGGGGCGGCGTGAAAGAAAAATGAGGGGGGTTTTCTCCGCTCAGAAGCAACATTGGGAGACCGGACCAACGCAGTTGGTCTTCTTCTGGGCCCAGTATATACACGGTGTAGAAAAATCTAGAAAATTAGGCAACTTAGATTTTGGGTGTACGCTGCCTTTAAAGTTGCTACGCTCATCGACAGATATAAAGGAACAAGTCTAGAACTAGCCTACAGGGTAAATGGAAATCGCGGAATAATTATGATTACGGGACCACTCATGACAATTCTGGACATACTAAAACTAGAATTACTTCTTATCTTCAGACCATCCACATTGGTGGGCGGTGCTATTAGAAATATTCTACGTTCTGGGTCAATTTTCTCGCTTCGAATCCATCACTTGCAGCGGAACTTGAGCGTGTGTTTAGTTAGGCGCTCCGCTATTATACAGCATCAAAGTAGATCCTCATCATTCCAGTTTGGGGCAACTGACTAAGCATACGGGTGAGCGCTCTCGAAGGTTATTCTACATTAGGCCTTGGGCAGAGTTTACGCGAATTCACAGCCTCGCGACTCTCCCAACAGGACAACAGGTACGAGTTCAATGCATGCCGATCATCTTGCATTTCGGTTTTGATAATACGACCTATCGGCTAACTATCACAACCGAAATCAAGATGATCGGCATGAGATGGGCTCGTAGCAGTTGTCCTTTTGGGAAAACGCGATACGATGAAATCGCCTGAGCTCTGCCCAAAACCTCACAGTTTGTAGGTGAATACGGCCCTGGCCTCTACAACCTGCTATCAAAAACTAGAGAACTGCAACAAAATAAAGAGCAAAGGAGGAATTTGAAAGCAAAGCTGATAAAACTACCATAATTTAAAAACAAAAAAGAAAACAATGGGCAAAGTAAGAATAAGCAGATGACATGCTCTCACCGGTATCAAGTATTCAGCTTTGACCGGAGCTATACCATCTCGACTGGACCCCACCGATAGCGTTTCGAGATCGTCGCGAAGATCTTCCACTCCCAGCTCGGCTTCGTCTCTTTCCTCTAAAGACATCCTGGAAGTTCCCATTTTACTTATAAAACATGAAAAGAAACACGAAAAACTGATAAAGGAGGAAGCTGTTGTAAAAACAGTAGAAAAACGGATATGCAAGCAGAGCAACCAGCATTTTATTCAAATCTGTACAAATAACATTGAAGCAAGCAAAAACAGAAAAAAGGCAACAATAATAAAAAAACAAGATTAATTTATGGCACCGGCTTATCAAGTAACTCTGGGTTTTTGTCTTTTATGCTCTCCTGTTCCTTCCAGAATCGCTGATTTCTCGAAAGGTAATCCTTATTCAGTTCGTAGTTCTTCGCATAACCACATAAAAGACATTTTCTTTGTAGTACTTTGCGTTGGGTCAAACTCAGCTCGCATCTCTCAACCTGAAAAACTCCGTTTTCAAAAAGCTAGATAGCAGGAGTAAATAACACTCACATTTGCTACAAAAATCTGTTTACATTTTTTACAGAACGTCTGCACGATATCGGGCATCACTTTCACCCTCTCAGTTTTGTGAACATCGCGAAAGAGCTTAGCATACCGTCGGCTGAGTTTTGCAAAGCCATCATCTAGGCTCGTACCTGAAATAAGGCAGTAGAAAATCAGATTTTGAATATCTGGACAACTTACTCTGACTAGACAAGTGTATCGCAGCCTGATGCAGAAAATTAAGGCGCATGTGCGAATCCAAGACGTGCAAGTGATGATTGGCTTCTCGCTTCTCCAAAGCTGCTTTTTTGCCTTTTCCTTTCCCATTTCCGTTGGATTTTGAAGCTGGCTGTGTCACACAGGAGGAAGAGGGTTGGCAAATATCCCGAGGTGGATCTTCCATGATTTTGGAAATTGCAGCTTCTCAAAACTGAAATGCAGATTCTTTACAATTTGTTACCGCTGGCATCAGTTCTCAGAGGCAGATCGACGCGCGCGACGCGACGTGCATACTTGGAGCACATTTGAGGAGTGCACGTCGCCATCGGTGAGTTTCAAGCTGGAACTTAGCGATAAATATGTAAGACTGGAGCAAGTGCAGGATCTTCGGTAAGTAAGCAAAACAACAGATATGGCTTGAGACCTCCAAAGAGGGTTCTCGATGGTCATATTCAAATTGTGAGGGAAAAATTTTTCAAGAGCATTCCTACAATTGAAAATTCCTAGATTATTTTCATCCCAACCGTGAACTCACATATTGGCATGTTTTCCGTTCCTCTCACTGTGATTCAGTGAGAAACATATCGGTTTACTTGTTTCATTATTTCTTGAAAATACATGTTTAAATGAATGGAAAGTTTTCGGTCATTTTTGACAGTTCAGATAATCTCATGCTTGACAATGTATCAAGAAAAAATCGAAGGCTTTTAAATCTCTGCTTTCTGTGAATTTTATTCCTGACTAGCCGGACTAGTTTGTGATTCTATATACGGGTGTCCCATAGTAAGTACACACTTTCAATCTCAATATCTCTCTTCCCAATACGTCTTTTTTCCCATTCAAATACCATTTTGTAGAGGAGGCTTCAGTTTAGGTTTACAGTAGCGATCAATCCCCGATCACCCTTCATTACTGTGGGGTTACGGTAAGAACTTCCAGCATGTGGAATCATTCGAAAATATGCCACTGACAAATTTTTTTCAAAAAATCTGAAAAATTGTGTACTAGGGTTTTCTCGCACGCTGATTCCACTGCACAACCTTTTACGAGTGTTTTCAGTTTTTTCTACGGTGGAATCACATTTTTGACAAATATACTGGGAATTCGGTTTTTATGGATAACTCTGGAAAGAAGCTTCACAGTAAAGTGGAAATTTCATATTCGAAATCAGCGGCTTCCACAACCATAGCACAAGGGTTTTTGGCTTGTTTGGTTCTGTTCCAAGGCAGAATATGGCTTGCAATGGCCTAAAATCCTCGTCGAAGTTCCTACAGTAATCCTACAGTAAGGAAGAGATCGGTGATTTGGTCGATAAAGTAAATTTGACTTGTAGCCTCCTCTACAGAATGGTACTTGAAAGACGGGAAAGACACAATGGGAAGAGAGATATTAACGATTAAAAAGTGTGTACTTACTTTTGGGACAACCCCTGTTTTGAACTGGAATCTAGAATACCTTTAAAATCAAAATTGTGATACCAAAGTGTGCGTACAAATCAATTACGAACAACCAAAAGGTATAAAATAATGCTATAAATGATGCATTCTAGATTGATAAAATAACAATAGCGGAACTACTGTAACCAGTTCATTCTTTCTTCAATACCACAGTTGATAGTCAAACCTAAGACTTATTAAGGGCCGAGCATACTTCACGCGATTTCAGTCGCGACGCGATTTGGTAATATTCCAACAGTCCATAACTCATTGTAAGTACATTTTGAATGTACAGAAGATAGAGCATTCTCTCAATCCACTTAGGTTATACACACTAGGCCTGTGCAGTATACTGTTGGATTTGAAGACTTCTGGCGAATTGCCAAATCGCGTCGCGACTGAAATCGCGTGAAGTATGCCCGGCCCAGTATGTTTATAATACAAATTCAATATTTTATTATTGGAATCTTCTATCCAAAATTATCTAGATTCTATTTCCTTACTGCGGAATCTCGGAGAGGGTCTAGAAAGCAAAACTCCGTCTAAGGGAAGACTAAACGGAAACTTATAAATTCTTTATTTTAATAAAGCATCGTTAGATTCTAGCATTTTTTGTTTATTGATGGAATACCAATCTTGCAATCAGTACATTCCCATTGAACTCTGATCCCGGAAAACCTCAATAACAAGCGATTAGCAGCAACTGCTAAATAGTTGAGACCTGATCAGATCAACTCCCACAGCTTTTCAAACCCATTAGATTAATTCTATTCATAATCGCTAAGGCGGAAGAGTCTTGCAATTGCTGGCCATTGTCTCTTGGCCGAGTCTGGAGGCGGCGGAGGCTTCGTTGAGAATTAGTAGGTAGCTGGTTAAAAACAACAATGGAAGGGCTTCTGCGAGTCCGTTCACTTTCGACTCGCTCTCTTTCAGCTCTTCTCGTCTGGACGGGAAATTAGAATTCCTTTTGAAAAGGGGAACGAGTTTTATTATTTTGAAAAGTCTTTCTTACTTGATTGCATCTCACATCAGTTACCATTAATAGCAGAGTTTTCTTCATCTTTTTTAAGATATGTTCGGCCTCTTTGTTCCGATTTATGTTTACCCAAAATTTTATGATATACTCTCGGGAAAATTCTATACAAGCCAACCATGCTTAGCATTTTTAAAGCCGATAAGCTTTAGTTATAATCTAACCGTAATGCTTATATGGCATTCTTGACTACTACGATTTGAAATATGGAATTTAGCCTTACTTCCAATTTCATATGGAAGAGGTTTATATTTTTGTTTACATAAATGCTGTCGCTTTTACAAAACTGTTTTTTTTTCATAGTCAAGTATGCATAAATTTTTGGGACTGAAGTAGAGTGTGGTAAAATCGCTTTTGAGTTCGATTCAGCAATTTCCATACAAATACCCTGCCACTCCTTATCATTTTTTAGAGATTCCCAGCCTTTCCATTTTTGGAAAGCTATCCTATTTGCTTGAATGTGAATATAATTATAGGCTACTGCATGACGAAGGCGTAATATGGGCTCGAACGCGGCTTTATTAGCCGCAGAGCGCGCATGTGGTGCATGATTTATAATGGTGAAGATACGCGCGCCGCCTTCGCGCCCGCTCAACTGATACTGCTTCTGCGCCTTCGTCCTGCAGCAGCCTTTAGTCTAAGTTGTAAAAAATATAATTAGTTTATGTTTTAAAAATGTGATACCTTGAAATTATAATACTTTGGGTTCAACCTTGCAGGTAATATGCCATTTTATGTTTTCGTTTCATAGGTCTATGATAAAAACACAGCTGTATAAGCGACTCATCGCACGCACGGACTGGACGTCGTTGCGTCCGGCTAAGATAGTTCGTTCATGAGAGAGACAGCAGACGGCGGAAGGGTGAAAGAGCGCTCGATTCGCGAGACGCCGACAGCGTCCGTAATGACGCCCAGTCTTTGCATGCGATAAAGTGAATGTAGGCATTTTTTGAGGGAAAATGAGTCGAGTTATGATCAGGGATTCAGTCGGATCCGTAAAATAATACCTTTACATATTTGCGTATTTTTCGCACCTTGGATTCATTTCAAAACTAGTAATAGACTATTTTTTTCATTTATCTCGACCAAACCTCTTGTAGACGTCATTGAAATGAATGTATCAACGAAAGCCGTGTTTATATACTAACAATAGAAATTTTCTTCAAGTAAATAGAGCATGAGCTTTACCCTCTGATATTTTGACTGATTACTTTTACTTATCTCATTCTGTATAAATTTTTTACATTGCTATTCATTTCCGGCATTAGTCACTAGTTCATTAGCGCTGTATCTCAGCCTCGTTAGTGAATATTCAGCTAATTTCGCATACCTGCAAATTTTTATTGACTCAATCAACGACTCAATATTTCTCCGTCTTCAGATCGCCCTCTGCTTCCTCCTCATCGTTCCTCCTCTACAAATTTCCTTATCTGTTCATACTAACGAACAATGGGCGCAGAACAACGAACGCAGTTCGTTTGCAAGGAACAATTGAATTCTCTTCGACATTTTTTCGTGAGCTTTCCGTACTCGTAACTAGCTTCTTTAGTAGGCTCATATAAGGAGAGTGGTTATGCACAAAGAAGAAAATTTAAAAATCTAGAAAAATGTTGAGAGAGCACCACACCGTTACTTTATATTACGCACACGTTTCTAAAAAAATGTTTTTCTGCCTAATTTTTACTCCATAACTTCTATAGTCCAGAATTTCCTTCTTGAAGATCCTCCGCAACCTCTGCAGTCTCATTCATTAATCAACGCCCTTTGATTAGTTGGCGAGCCTCCCACACCCGGAACTCATCTCGTTTATCGAGCAAAGAATTTTCACAGCGACATCTGGAGTTTTACAAAATTTCTACAAATATTGAAAACTCTGTAAATTCTATTGTTGATTTATTGATGTAAAACCCTTTTCATTTGTAAATAGTGGGTTATAGAAGCCATGTAGTGACGGGTTCGGGTTTTTCTGCAACGCTCCAGATTTACGTCGACCTAACCAAAATGATATGATCAAGTCCTAAATGATTTTCTCTTTCCTTTTTTATCTCTGCAATGTGTGTATGTATAGTAGAAGCTCACCAAAATACATCTATAGAAATGAAGAGTTGTTCTTCCCAATGAAATAATTAGCAAATCCGTCAAGAAAACGAAAAGTTGCGAATTTTCAATGATGAAACGACAGCTTTTTGAGAATAAATAGTATACGCCAGAGGCAGGGCTGTAAAAAACATGTTCTCTATTTTAAAGAAAAATGGTTTCGAGGAAATTTATCAAGATGCAAGGATGTTATGGTTTTTGAAAAAGTTGCAGAACACATTTTTGGACCAACGTGTTGAAAAATAACGGTTCCACTCATTTGTTTGGCTTTTCAGCATCTGCTTATATTCGTGCATATTTTACATATTAGGTCGGTGCAAAAGTTTTGTCAGTATTTTCAATCCATCGCAATCACGCTAGAATGAAGATAAACAGAGTCTTCAAAATGTATCCGGTGCAGAATTTCTTCCTCTTTCCAACTGCTAAACTTTCATTGTGTTTCGTTGTGAGAGTGACGATATATTTGTTGCAAATTACAACCACTCGTTTTTACCATGTCCAACTTTCGCTGATTTTCGAAATTTTTGTATGAGACTTTCGAAGAAGTCCTAATAACCAGCAGATAGGGCAAACCTTTTGCCAACAGAAGCAATTTTTTTCTTTTTTTCAGCTGCTTTTTCAGATTTTTGCTAAATAATTTTCTAAAAGTCTTGTGTTGTCCGATAATCGCATAACCTGTTATTGCACCA